AATGAACATGTGACAACCTTCTTTTTATTCGACAGAAGGCGGTGAGCAGCAAACAGAAGTGTGGTGGTAGGGTGTGCACTGTTGGTTATAAGTGATGCTTACTCTAAACTACGTACTATGAAGATCCCATGTAACTTCAAACAAATGAGTTACATAATTTTTAAAAATTTTACATATTAACCAAAAAAAAAAAAAAAAAAAAAAAAAAAAAAAAAAAAAAAAACAGAAAGCTGAAAAACTTTAAACTTTGATACCATAACAAGAGACTGTAACTTATTGAATATAGAACCAAAAATAATAAAATTATAGCCTAAAATGAAATAAAAACTCTAAGTTACATGCTGAAAAATATCCCATGTCAATCCGACTTCAAATAATAAACTAGTTATACTATTTTTTTAAATTTTCATAGATTACACAAAAAATCTAAAAAAAACTTTCAGCTATGATACCCCGACTTCGGGGGACTGTAGCACATTAAATATGAAACAAAAATGATAAAATTATAGCTTAACATGAATAACAAACTCTAAAACTAAATGTCAAAGAAAAAATCTTATGTCAATCCAACTCCAAATTATTGATTTTTAAAATAGGGAGAATTTCATATATACCATTTTTAAATATTAAAATATCATATTTGCCCGATCTAAATTTTAAATATCATAAATACCCTTTATAAGTTTTCAATATATCATATTCGTCCGAATCCTATGTTTTAACATTTTATAATCATTTATTGTAATATAAGATCATTATAATTATAAAACAAATATTAAATACCCATTATAACCCTCCACAATCGGCCTTTTAATTACACCATCTTCAACATAACCATCTTCATCATGTAGCCCCCAATCTTTATAAAACTCCGAGCATGTACGTCATTTATTGTTGAGTAAGTTGTTAACAGTTGTTGTCTACGGTATTTTTCCTTTGAAAGATCGATGACCTAAGAATGAAATAATTGGTAGTATTCTTTATAAAATTTAAATTGAACTCACAATGTGCTAAGAGTTTTTAAGCTTTCCAAAACAAACTTTATATACTGATCAATAATATACATAAATAATTACTTCTAAATACAGCAAGCCCATAATTTATTGTAATCATACATACTTATAAAGCTAGTATTTTTTTCTTGAATCTCATGCATTTGAAACCTCCATTCTTTTTTCACCATATTCATTTGAAACTCCCATAACTTTTCAATTTCTTTATAATAATAATTATAATTTGGTAGTTATGTTAAATAAATATCAAATTTAAAGTGTATTCATATATAAACTAAATTTCAATATTAAAATAATATCTTTAATTCTACTTATAAAATTATGTTTTTTAACTTTTAACATATTTTACTTAATTTATTAGTTTTAATATATTGTTTGATGTAAACCATTATCATTTTAAAGGTATAATTTTTGAACAATTCTTATAAAATACTTAAATTATTAATAGAAATATAACATTATAGGCTTAACTTAAATATAAAATTTATTTAACTTAAACAATCCAAAGATTATTTTATAAATAGTTAAAAGTGATAAATTGTAGTGTTTTTCTAATAATGATTGTAAATTGGTTAATAAGGTTAAATAAATATCAAACCTAAAGTGTAATCATAAATAGACTAAATTTCAATTTTAAAATAATATTTTTACTTCTATTTATAAAGTAATTTCTTTAAATTTTAACATATTATACTTAATTTATTAGATTTAAAATGTTGTTGCTTATAAACCATTATCAGTTAAAGCTACAATTTTGTAGTGATAAAAACAAAAACTCAATTGTAACTTCAATTTAACTAAAATATTTCTTAAATATATTTTTATAATCGTTAAAAGTTTCCAAATAAGTAGCTTAAAATAACTTACAATAATAATAGTTAAAAACAACTCTATATAAATGATTATATTGTTAGCTTTAAAATAAAAAAAACAATGTTTGATGTTTTAAATAATTATAATCATAGAAATTAAAACATTAAGCAAATAAATTTAAAAAAATTAATTAACATAAAAAACAACTATAAATACCATCAAATCATATCTTATATTTAATTTTATTCATGTATAACTCGCGGGTAGAAGTCATTCAAACGATTGAGATTATGAAGTTATAATAAATGTATATATATTATCATATAATTCAAAATAATCAATATATTATATCAATTTAGTATATACAAATTATTATATCAAATTTAACAACGTTATTGTTATATTCAAAAAATTGTAAAGACTTCAACTATACAGGTGTTTCTGCGCAACGCGCCAACATTCGCCTAGTATTGAAATAAGCGTCATCTAATTGGATCTAATTAGCGGTGTTCTTTATGAATTTTGTATTGGTTAGCAATTTATGATCCACTTGAAAGCGACGCTTTGTCTTTTAAAGTCAAAGAGGAGCTATTAATTTACATTGGAACATTTATGTTTTAAATCAAAATAAATTAAATTATCACTTAAAGCATAACAAGAAGAAGAATTCAATTAGACAGAGATTTGGAGGTGAAAAATTAATGGTGATGGAAATCTCTTTGATGGGTTGCAACACAATCCTGGGTATCGTTAACGATTTTTTGTGGTGGCAATTGAAGCAAAAATGTAAAAGTTTTTCTAGCATTTTATTAGAATAAACAGACAACTTGGATTTTATACTTCGATTCAAAACATAAGAAAGGCAATGACTTTGAATAGGGGGATTTAAAAAATTGGAAGCGAAATTGAAAGTTTGGAGATTTTGGTCAATGTTGTTAATGTGAATAATCATTATCATTAACTATATGTTTTTACACCAAGAACACACGCACTAGTTAAGGTGTATTTAACTAGATTTTGGGTGTAGAGACCAGCTATTGAAACCTATGTGGAGGAGGAAGAGAGTAAGTGGGGGTTCAAGATTGTAAATTCCCACAATGCCGTTATATATTTTTACAAAATAAAACATGGGTAATATGGGTATTCTATATTTCTTATAATTATAATAATTTTAAAATAAAGAAAATGGTTATAAAAAGATTAAAAATAAGATTTAAGTAAATATGATATTTTGAAAGTTTATAAAGGCTATATATGATATTTAGAATTTAAGTTGGATAAATACGATATTTTAATGTTTAATAAGGGTATATACAAAATTCTCCCTTTAAAATATTTTACAATGGTACTTTAATTTGAAGATAATTATAGATTTGTCATGTAATAATAACATTCAATCAAATACAATGTTGTCTAAAATCATTCTCGTATTTTTAACTTTTTTTCATTATTATTTAAACTTAATTCATATACCGCAACCAACTTTTTACATCTTTTTATTGTTTTTTCTTTTTAATTAAAATTATTTTAATTTCAGTTATACAAATATGTTCATGTTTAGTTTCCTTGATATAAACTTTTATAGAAAGCATTATTATGATACAAAAAAATCGTCATGTCCAAGAAAAACATTAGTAAGTCAAAGATTTTTTTATTGGTCATTTTATATTTTAAGTATAATTTTTCAAGCACTAAAAAACGATTTATCTGTTTATTAAATTTTTATACCATATAAATTAACTCCAACATTTTTCTTCTTTAACTTTTAAAGCATTTAAAAAAAATTTGTTTTAAATAAACATTTCCAAACATAGCAGTTCAAATTATGGAAAGTTAAATGAAGTATGAAGGGTGTATGTCATTTAATGTATGCGGCTCTATCATTTAATGAGAAAAATGAATGAAGTATCAAGTTTATATGTCATCTTGACATTCAAAACACATCAATACGAAAAAAAAAAAATGTTTTTAATTCTTAAATATTTAGTATAAATTAGATATGATAATCCATATTAATTGGAGAATTTCATATATATCCTTGTAAACTTTAAATATTACGTTAATATCCTTATAAAATTTAATATTACATATACGTCCCCTTAAAACTATAGAATTCACGTCTATATCCAAATTCATTTATTAATTAGGATTAAACCTATTTAATATTTAAAAACTTATCTAAAACTCAATATCTCATATAATATTACTAAAATATCCCTCCAAATTAAATATTAGAATGAAAACCAATTTATTAACGATTAAACGAATTAAATTAGGATTATCTTCCGTATCGTTTCTTCTTCTTTTAGATTCCTAAATTTAAAGTATAATAATACAAGACAAGCTTGTATAGACACATATAGAACATATGGGTTCGAATGATTGTGAAAATATGAAGTATATTACTATATTATGTAGCAGTTTTACCTTTAACGCATCCATTTCCATTCTAGTTTTTGGAAAACTCATTTTGGAATTTGAGCCAATCGTTGAAGAACACATAATTATTGATTTGAAGCACAAGACTTTAGATGTATGTAAAAAATTAAAGAATCCATACAGCAAAATTAATCGATCCATACAATCTTTTTGGAAAACTCATTTCTAATCAAGTGATCTATCATATTCTCTATTGTTTCCTATTCTATTTATCTCAACAAAAGCTTTTCATTTATTATCATATTTAGAATTCCAAAACCTAAACCTAAAAGGAGAAAAGCAACGCATGAGATTCTAATTAAATTGGTTCAACGTTAAATTTTATTTAGGAATGACAGTTTAGTATTATCATATAATATTTTCTATTTTAGATCAATTTTTAAGTATTAAATTTGTTTAATCCTAATTAAAATATAAATTTGGATATAAACGTGAATTCTATAGTTTTAGAGGACATATATGTAATATCAAATTTTATAAGGATACTTACGTAATATTTAAAGTTTGTAAGGATATATATGAAATTATAGAATTGTATTTAATACATTGTAATTTACTCATTGCAAATGCGCGTGCAAACCTACCTACAAGTAGGAAGTTCCGAAATCAACCAAAGCTATAAATTAGCTCATGATTCGCAAAACACCCATCAACCTATCATTTATGTCAAAACAGACTAAAAGTACACATGAAACTGTTCCATGATAGATCATACTTGAAGATCAAGTTAATAACTCACACTTTATTATCAGTATCATTGAGAATTCCCGCACCCTTTGTACCTTCATCGTCAAGATCAAATGGCCTGAACAGGTAAAACATCACAATATAGAACAAGAGATTGCCGATTTCCTCGGTAGTCCACCTTAAGAAAATAATGTATACTAAAAACACGAAAGGGAACACATCCGGCCTAACAGAAGTCTCCTTGATCGAGATAAACGACCTCATAAAGGTTGATGTATCCTTAGCCTCTTTGAAAGCTATACCAGAGCAAAAAGTGTGGAAAAAAACAACGAAGCAACAGAAGCCATCTATAACACCAAAACTTTCATTCAAAGCATGCTCTTCAATATATGAAACAGATTGCCCTACTACTGTATAACTTACACTACCCCAAACCTGAAATAGGATCACAATCGTCCAAATGAATATTGCCCATTCTGGCAAAACCCGTCTCCAGATACCCCATCCGACACCCATCAACATGATTACAGTGAACAAAAGCACATTCCTCATAAATTGAGATACGTAAAACAAGACATGCCATTCATGATGAGTACCTGTAACCTTGAAATCATGTTGATCCATCCCCTTGCAGACAAGTTAAGGAGAGTCATCACAAGCAACACACCCATTACTAAATGGAGCTTCTGAAAATATTGTTTGTTCCTGAAGCATACTTCGATCCATATCGATAAGAAACAGAGATAAATGTAGAAGAAATTGAAGTAGAGAGATGGCTGAGGTTGCTCGGCTGATAAATAATCTTTGGTGGTTCCGTCGTCGTTGGTGTTGTAGAGTTCTGTGCGGACATCCATGGTGACGAGGGATAGGTCGTTGCAGTTGGCGAAGTAGAGTGAGTATTTACCTGGATATATGACATTGTACGATTTGTTAAAGGATGAATGAGGAGGAGGGGCAAGATTTTGGAAAGTATAGAGGACTGTTATGAATTTGATATCCAGTGCGCACAAATCAGGGTTTCGATCGAATTCAAGATTGTATCTGTGTCGCAGTTCATCCGAAAGAAGAAAGAAACCAATGCGTGATGGATCAGGTTGTGATGAGTTGGAGGTGACCGGAATGGAGGAGATCCCGACGGAGGAGACAGCGACGGAAACGTAACCGGTATGTGGGTATTCAAACTCCGAAAAGAAGATTATATCTCGGTTATGGGATCGGATCTTCACGGATCTGATATCCGCTGTGGATGGTGCAGCGAAGAGGAAGAAGAGGAGGATAAATTTTCCTAACATCCTCATTTTGGTTTCATGGAATTATAGGTGGTGGGCTAACGTTGGATGAAGACAGCAGCGAGGAAAACCGTGGTGGCTAACGGCAGAGGAAGGCGGTGGCGGGGAAGAGGTGAGATGAGCAGGATTAACCGGAATTTTTACTTTTGGATATCTGTTTGAAAAAGGTTAATTACTAATTAACGCAAATACTCGAACTCTTATCAAGAAAACTAAACTTGGATGGAATATCCTCAATTCAAAAACCCGATTTCTATGTACAGAATATCGTGAATTAACTAAGGATATGATCTGTTATTCCTCATGGTGAGACTTCTTAACGTGCCTATAAAAGCACATATAAAAACTTTAATTATAAAAAATATTCCAATAATTAAATATTAAACGTATTAATTATAAAGAATATTTTTTGTAATTAATTTATTTTATATTTTTAAATAAAAATATTATGTATAATAATATATTTCATATTTAGTTATTGTAATATTTTTTATAATTAATACTTTTTATGTCATTTCAATATCAAATTTTAAAATTCCATTATTTTTTTAAATATTTCCTAGTATTTTTTTATTATTTGTAAATAAAATGGAATTATCGATGATCAATGGAAACTCTTAAACCTTGGATTTGAAGATTCATTTGACTTTGAATGTGTTTGTATATCTTTCTTTCTAGCTTCAACTTAGCAAGTAGACGTTGCAATCGTGTCATTTATATGTATTACATGAAACCATGGATAAACATAAATTTATACGAATTTAATTCATGTACATACGTGTTTATTGTGTTAATGCGTGTTGCGTATCAACACGGATTTAATTCGTATATATACGTGTTCAAGTAGTTAAATTGTGTTTGACACACGTAAGACATAAAGCATAAATTTAAAATTTGGGTCGACACGAATAGACATGAAACGCGAATTTCTAAATCCAGCATATGGAAAACTCGTGTCATGTCAATTATGAAACTATGTTTTGAATGGTTTGTTCTGATGGTGTATATGTGCAAGCGTATATGTCGAATGCATATAAGATTGTGAAATAAATATACACAATGAATAATTAAGTTGTTAAAAAATAGAGGGAAAAACATATTTGAACCGTGAAAAACGAAAAACGGCTTTGGGTCATGGGTAATGTGTTGGTAAAGCACTGCTTATGGAAAGTTTGTAATACATACCATTACCGAGTTACAAATTAGCCAGTTAATCATAATTAGAATTTCTCTATTAGCTTGATTCCCAAACTCTTTCAAAGCATGTTCCCATATCCTCCGTATATTGCTTAATTCCTACCTTAATTCTTTATTGCTAGATAAATTAATAATCATCGATGAATAAGAACAAGAAGCGCTTGAAACACCCACGTAGAATTTAAAGAAACATACAATGACAACCATTGGCCAATTTCAAGAAAACCTAAGCAACGACTCTTTTTGCCAAAGAATAAAAGTTCTTTACAAATGATTATTGTTTTAATCTTTATGTGTGGTTGACTTGGATTGCATCACACGTGAACATAATAGAAATTCATTACTTTTAATAATAATGTACTTGCATTTCATTACATATAGTAACAATTTATAATGAATAAGGCTTTATTTCCATAGAGGTAGCAAACTTAAGTACATTGCTATTATGAGAAAACAATAAAATATTGTTACTATAAAAAATGAATGTAAGCAAATAAGTTGTTATTATTGGTAAGAAATAAAATATGTTGGTGGTGAGAGAAACATATATTGTTATTCCTTGTAATTTGCCTTTAATTGATGATAAATGGAGATCACGTGGACGTATGTAAATCCATTGGGCCACAAAAATGCCTAATATAATTATATCATTGCCTTAAAACATAGATAAAATGATAAGTGATGGAGATTAGATAAAATATAGTCTAGCTAGGTAGTGATGTTGTTGCTTATGACAATGATAAGAGGATCTAATTCTAATAATTTGTTGAAACAAAAAGATGATCTAAGGGTATGTTATTCATTAAGCAACCAGCTACACCAGTGTATCAATTACTATGGTGACACGCTTCCTTTTATCATGTAGAGATTGTAAAAGTCTTTGGTGTTATTTGGGAGCATGTAGACACAACATAGGCCTTTTGCTTTTATTTAGTAGCCACTTAAAACTTTTGATGGCACCGTATGTTTAATTTTATTGTAGTCCTTTCTTATTAGCCTAGCTTATATTTATGTAAACTATTAGATTTATTGTATACTTGAGGGGTGTATATTGTATCATTTTTCTAGTATTTATATAAGATAACTCCCATGCCTATTGGTGTGGTATTCCATTCATTACATGGTATCAAGAGCCCTTCAACCCCTCCATTCCTCTCCCTCCTCATAACCGACTCCTCCATTGTTTCCGGCGATCTCACCATGGCTGGCTCCTCTAATGACTCCACCCTCCCGATGAACACCCTCATTCATCTCATCACCATTCGTCTCTCTTCTTCCAATTATCTTTTGTGGGTAAATCAAATGGTTCCCCTCCTAAATTATCAACATCTCCTTGCACATGTCGATGGCTCCTCGGAAGCTCCACCCACTCATCATACCGTGGACGCCAAGCAAGTTGAGAATCCGGCCTTTGCAGAATGGCAAGCCGCCGATCAACGCACGGTTCTTCTCCTCCAAGCCTGCCTCACGGAGGAAGCTTTTTCTGAAATCGTGGGTCTTTCCTCCACCCGCGCCATCTGGACTGCTCTCAAATCCGCCTATGGAAACTCCTCCATGGAACGGGTTCAAAATCTACGCAACCAACTTCGGCTTCTCTCCAAGGGTGACTCTCCCGTTTCTGATTATGGTCGCAAGTTCAAGGCCAATTGTGACCATCTAGAGGCTATTGGTCAAGCCGTTGATGACTCCGACAAATGTCATTGGTTTTTATATGGCCTCGGCGACAATTTTGAATCTTTTTCCATTGGGGTTCGCACCTCGCGTATCACTCACTCATTCCGGGATCTTCTTGCGCAAGCTGAAAGCCATGAATTGTTCATCAAATCGATCCATGGGCAGCCCACCCCTGCTGTCGCCTTTTCCGCTGTTTCAGCGCCTAGCAGGGCTGCTCCCGCGTTTTTTGTTGGCCAGGGTCGCGGTGGTGGCTCCGGTGGTCGTGGTGCTGTCGTGGTCGCAGCCGTCGGCCTCCTCATTGCCAACTATGTAGACTAAATGGGCATTTTGCTAGTGCTTGCCCTCGACTTTCCACTTTTGCATCTAACTCTATTCCAAATGAAAGGGACTTGACGAAGGAGTTTTTAGCGAATTGTCGCGTCGCTCCACCCGCTCTGGATTGTTATGTTGACTCCGGGGCCTCGGACCATATGGTCTCCTCCTCGGGCTCGGTCACTCAATCCGAGCCTTTCCATGGCGACGGTTCGGTTCATTTTGGTAATGGTACAACTCTTCCAATTACCTCTATTGGGACTTCTACTCTCACAAATCGTATTAAATTGCGAGATGTTTTAGTTGTTCCAAAACTTACTAAAAATTTATTATATGTTAGCAAGTTGACTTCTGATAATGATGTCGATGTCCTTTTCTCGAAAAATTCATGTTCTATTCAGGATCCGGTCACGAAGAAAATTCTAGCACAAGGAAGGCATGACCACAGGCTCTATGTTCTCCCCAATAAATCGATGGCTTGTTCGTTGTTTGCTACTAAACGTCCCACCGCATCTTTTGAATTATGGCACTCCCGTTTAGGGCACGTGAATTTTGATGTTATTTCTAAATTGAATAAAGATGGTCATGTAATGGTTTCTTCTATTTTACCAAAACCCGTTGTATGTTCTCCTTGTCAACTTGACAAGTCTCATCGTATGCCCTTTGAGATTAATGACCAACGTGCCTCAAAGGTCTTGGATTTAATTCATTGTGACCTTTGGGGTCCATCTCCTGTTGTTTCGGTTGCCTCCTATCAATATTATGTTACATTTGTGGATGACTTTTCTCATTTCACGTGGTTCTATCCACTTAAAAATAAATCCGATTTTTATGGAGTTTTTGCGACATTTATGGCCTTTGTTGAGACACAATTTTCTACAAAAATCAAGACTTTTCAAACTGATGGGGGTACGGAATTTTTAAACAATAAAGTAAAGGCTTTTTTACAAAGCCATGGCATTTTTCACCGTATCTCTTGCTCTTACACGCCTCAACAAAACGGGCGGGTCAAATGTAAACACCGCCATATTGTGGAAACGGGCCTTGCTATGATGTTTCATGCCTATCTTCCGGTCTCTTATTGGCCGCATGCTTTTAGTATCGCGGTGCACATAATTAATCATCTTCCCACTAAGGTGTTGGCCATGCGCTCTCCATTTGAGGTTTTATTTGATCGCGCCCCCATTTATGCCAATTTTCGTATTCTTGGTTGTCGGGTTTATCCATATTTGCGGGACTATACGGATCATAAACTATCACCACGGAGCATTCCGTGTGTTTTTATTGGGTATCACTCGCAATACAAGGGGTTTCTTTGTCTCGATCCGGTTTCTAATCATGTGTTTGTCACCCGCCATGCCCGGTTTGATGAATCATGTTTTCCGTTTCGAGACACACATACTACCGCCCACATTGGGTCTCTTCCGCTGCAGTCCTTTGTTGCTGGTTTCGAGCCCGTCGACCCCGTGGTTCCTCCTGCCGCTGTTCCTGCTCCTCCTCCCAAGGTCTCCAGCCCGACTACTTTGCGCCCCTGCACCGTGTGCACTGATCTGGTACCGCCCCAGACGCTGGCAGCTTTCCTGTCTAATTCCGACTCGTCGCAGGGTGCCGCCTCCGATGCTTCTTCGTCCGGGTCTGACTCCGATCCTGATATTGGTGCTGAATCGGGCCCTGATTCCGAGTCGGATTCTCCTCCGTCGCCTCGCATGCCGCCTCCCTCTCATCCGATGACCACATGGGTGAAATCTGGGATCTTCAAGCCGCGTTACCAGGTTGATTTGGCACACTTACATTCTCACTCTTTGTTTACACAGGTTTTTTCTGCC